AGACAACCCATCATATCGGGAACCGCAAAACACCAGTCAGCTTATCAAGGTCCTGTTGAGCAGCTGATTTTATTTTATTTTTTTACAATGGAGTGTGTTCGAGCAGGGCTGGAGCAAAAAAATCTGCACCCGCAGTAGATCTCCTGTCCTCTACTGGAGGTGGGATGGCCACCCTGCAACATTACAATTACAACTTTTTATGTCTTTATAAAATAAAATTCCCTCATTCAATGAACCAGGGATCAAAAAGCTAAGGCGAGGTAGCCAACTGTTTAGTGTTCAGGGGAGATCTTGACAGCATAGGAGTTAGAATATTTTTTTACATGGCCAGTATTGAATAGAGGAGAATCTTAGCCAATTTTGAGCGCTTGAGAGACGGTTTTACAACCGCAGTTTGCAGCACTGGTTTCATCAACTGCGCGCCCGTATATCAACTGCGTGTCGACCATTTGCCGTTATACACGTGTGCCGGTGGAATAGCTATTTTAGGACTCCGGATATGTTAATGACATTAATACACGCTAATAGTTAAATAGTCAACTAGCGAGATAGCCGACTCAAAACATAGTGTAGTTTGGCTGGTTCTCTCGCTAATCTATTGCATATCACTATTTTACCTGCTGCCCAAAATGTCTCTCTCCTCTGGCAACGGCCCACTGGCACACACAGGTGATGCACACCTGACTTTTTACAGGATTTTCATTGCTGACCAAATATTAGCTATAACTGGGCAAATGACTCACTAACTAGCAATGAATATCAACAAATGTGCACAAGCCCTCGCTTTGATCAACAAAAAAAAAACGCATCTTGCGACCGCATGATTGAAAGACCGCTAGTGCCGGTCACTGAAGGCCTACATTAATTCTATTCCGATGCAGAGATTGGGAGGACAGCGCACAGCACAGCGCAGCGCAGCACAGCACAGCGCATCCAGAGGACACTTGGATCCAATTTTGATCGGAGCAGCCCAATTGTTTGATATTGTGATTCCATTCGGGGGAATTTAAATCTATAATCTGCTTGTCCGACCTTTATTTTGTTTATTTGCGCCGGACAAGCGGACAAGCGGACAAGCGTTATTGTCGAGCCCTGGTACTTCTCACTTTAAAAAATAGTTTGTTATTATATTTCAGATTTTTTACAAGGGTGTTTTATACAGTAGCCTATTAGTGCAGTATTTTACTTTGAGCTTTGGGACAAGTAAAACATTTTTTTTCAAATAATAATAATAATAAATATATATATATATATATATATAAATAATCTGTCCTACTTGTCCGAAGGAAAAGTGGCTAAAATAGTTAATGTCATGCCCTGGATTTCCATGGGTTTTTACACCGGAAGGTGACTTTCTGTTAAAAGGTGCATTATACAACACCTGATTATTTTAGCAAATCAAAAGTCTGTTATTGGCAGTGCCACTGTAACCTTTAATTCGCCCAAAAGGCCTTAATGGCACAGGTGGTGCGCTGGTTTAAACCCTGGTCTGCTGGTTCAAACCCTGGTCTGCTGGTTCAAACCCTGGTCCGCTGGTTCAAACCCTGGTCCGCTGGTTCAAACCCTGGTCCGCTGGTTCAAACCCTGGTCCGCTGGTTCAAACCCTGGTCTGCTGGTTCAAACCCTGGTCTGCTGGTTTAAACCCTGGTCTGCTGGTTTAAACCCTGGTCTGCTGGTTTAAACCCTGGTCTGCTGGTTCAAACCCTGGTCCGCTGGTTTAAACCCTGGTCTGCTGGTTCAAACCCTGGTCTGCTGGTTCAAACCCTGGTCTGCTGGTTCAAACCCTGGTCCGCTGGTTTAAACCCTGGTCTGGTTTGAACTATTATAGTATGTTTAGAATTTACCATGGATAGTCAAAAGCAATTGTCTGCAGTTTGCAAAAGGTAAATAGCTCAATTGATTGCGACAGTCTTACATTGTACAATATGACTCAATTCCCATTGAAAGCAAAGTAAAAAATAAATAAATAAAAAGTTAAATCATTGATTTATAAAAGGGTGAAATAACTCAGCCAGAGACTAAACAAAGATATCCCCATGTACACTGGAGCCCCCGTCTTCTACAGCTTGTTTCTAGCCTAAAGCGTTGCAGCAAATACAATCAAGACAAGTCAAATGTCAAGAGTTGTGAGTTTGGCACTGTTGAGCAGCACACACTTGGATTAAAAATGTCAACACAACAGGAGGGGGCCTCCCGAGTGGGGCAGCGTTCTAAGGCACTACGTCGCAGGGCTAGCGGTGTCACTACAGACCCGGGTTCTATCCCGGGCTGTATCACCACCGGCCGTGATCGGGAGTCCCGTAGGGCGGCGCACAATTGGCCCAGCGCCAGAAATGCTACAAAAAAAATGTAGCACATAGTTGGTTCTTAACAGATATAAATGGGCACGTGAGAGCGATTAAATTATATATTTTATAAAAACTGTTGCACCAACCAACTTAAGTCAATCTGACATTTTTTTTTAACGTCCAATGGTCACTTCACGGAGGCTATCGTCTGACGACCCTGTTAATAACCCAGTACGTGGTTCTCGGTAACGGCCAGACCAGGGTACAGTTGTGTACCGTACCTCCAATCATTCACCGACATTGGTGTCAAACTGGCTTCGATATGATGGTAGGAAGATTTAGATTTTAACATTGAGCTTCAACACAATGCCATGCTATTGTGGCAGCGGTTCTCCTAAACCTAATGGAAGCCAACTGAAAAACACTTGCAGCCATTACCAACTTCCAGATCTGTGCATGGGTTGGGGTTAGGGAGGAGGTTTTAAAGGGGAGGGACCAGCTAATGGGACCCTCCCTATTCGTTGGGGTTAGGGAGGAGGTATTAAAGGGGAGGTACGAGCTAATGGGACCCTCCCTATTCGTTGGGGTTATGGAGGAGGTTTTAAAGGGGAGGGACCAGCTAATGGAACCCTCTCTATTCTTTTCCAGACCTTACCAGGTTTGGAGGGATGCTTGGTGTAGTCGAAGACCAGTACGTCTGAGGTGGGGGTCTTGGTTGCGATGATGCAGGGGTTCTGGGGCATGTACCTGGCCCGGTTCACCTCTCCTTCATGGTTGATCTTGATCTCTATCTCGATCTTCCCACTCACTGAGCCAAAACCTCCAAACTCTACAGAGAGAAGGAGACAATGTTATCATTATGTACTATGGCAAAGTAGATTCCTTAACTTTTACAAGCCGAGGTAGAGTCTTGGATTGGATGGCATTGAGAAGTGTGTCCTAGTGTGTGTGTGTGTGTGTGTTAGGGATGTGACAAATGAACACATTTTCTTCACGTTTAAAACTGCCATTTATCGGTTTCCGTTAAAACGAAAAGAACATGTAGCTTAGCGGTTAAGAGCGGTGTGCCAGTAACCGAAAGGTCGCTGGTTCTAATCCCCGAGCCGACTAGGTGAAAAATCTGTCGATGTGCCCTTGAGCAAGGCACTTAACCCTAATTGCTCCTTTAAGTCGCTCTGGATAAGAGCGTCTGAAAAAAATAATAATCCACGTCCTATTGCGTGGTGTGACCACTAGGGGGCAATGAAGTTCTACCGCAGTCATAGAGTAGGTGGTATCTGGAATCTGCTTGGGGCAGGTGTCATTTCATCTGGAAGACAACCGTTAATTCACCTCCACTTCCATTTGTTACGTGCATTAGCGACTCACAAAAAAAAAAAGTCAAAAAATACCTAGCCAAGTGATCACAGTTGTTTTCCCCTCCATTCTTCTCTCCCTCCATTACAGGCCGCCTCTCTCGCTCAATTTCGATCCAACCGCTCCCTCTACACATACGCACGCCGCGAACCCATTAGTCCCTACAGAAATGACTGCCCATCTCACTGAAGGCATACTGTAGACAAGCTACATTCCTTGCCAAATCACAACAGCTTTATCACGAATTCAATATGGACTGGTTGATTAAAATAGGGAAAATGTGTTCTAACAACGAGCTGGAGTTTTGGAATAATAAATGCATCTCATCTACTTTGGGCTTTTTTTTGTGGGGGGGGGGGGGGACTGCCATTTAGAATAGGTTCCAACCCCCCCCCAGACTGAAATATGCAACAAAAACATTGTTTTGATGAAGGCAAATAGCAGATTCATTAGTCTATGGACTTTAACAAAAGCCTTCCCACCGGGTTTAAGCTTACAAATCAAACAGGGCAAAAGAACTCCCCAAATGTGAGTATCTACTAGTTAAAAAAAAGAATTGTAGCTTTCTAACGCCGTTAACTGAATGTCTCAACTCCCATTCGAAAGGGAATAACACCCTGTTGAAACGGGAGTAAACGGTGAACGGTGATATTTATGAGAAGGACCCACCTGTTTCAGTAGTGTGACCCGCGGCTGAAATGGCGCTTGCTGTCTTTCATTTAGCAAATTACCTTGCAACTCAAGTAGGCCATTGACAATGGCTGCATATCAACCGCAATCATTACAGTAATCAGTGCTTTTTCTCCAAACTTGATGACATGCTTTATATCCATGGCAAATCATTTCAGATGCACATCTCCTTCGCCAAACATTACAGTGTTACCCATTTCTTCACGTTTTCCTTTTATGATGATGATCGGGACCCGTTAGAGGTAGTTTGGTGATAACTGCACTGTCATTTTAATAATAAAAATATATTGTTTTTCCAGTTTTCTTAACGTTAAGGATTCAGTTCTGTTTTTAACGTTCACACCCATAGTGTGTGTGTCTGTCTGTGTGTGCAATGAGCATGAGTGCGTCTCACCGCCTTTCTCGCTGTCGTAGTGCGAAACATTAAACTGGGCGTCGTCATTGGGCAGCTGTACGCTGGCGATGACCAGGTGATTCTGCTCGTCTGACGTGTGCGTGCCCAGAACCAGGCGGTGCACGCTAAAATCTTTCCCCTCGGGCCTGGTAAACAAACAGAGACAGCAACAAAACAGGAAGCAGGACGGACAACGTGGCATCAATGGGTAGTTTAAGGCCAAAACGAAGAATGCATAAGGTATGTTTGAGATTTCTTGTTAACGTTGTGTGTGTGTGTATACCTGGAAACATCAGGCAGCCACTGGGCGGTGAGGCTGGGCCATTCCAGAGCGTGGGTCATCACCAGGTCATAGAGGAAAGGCGTATTCTTCTTCCAGATCTTATATTCCTCATTTATCACCCTTTCCTCCACCGCATCATCAAAAGCACCTAGAGAGAGAGAGAGAGAAGCTAAATTACTTCTATGCTCGCTTCGAGGCAAACAACAATGAAGCATGTATGAGAGCACCAGCTGTTCCGGACAATTGTGTGATCACGCTCTCCGTAGCCAATGTGAGTAAGACCTTTTAAGAGGTCAACATTCACAAGGCCAGACAGATAACCAGGACGTGTACTCAGAGCATGCGCTGACCAACTGGCAAGTGTCTTCACTGACATTTTCAACCTCTCCCTGACTGAGTCTGTAATACCTAAATGTTTCAAGCAGACCACCATAGTTCCTTGTGCCCAAGAAAGTGAAGGTAACCAGCCTAAATGACTACCGACCCGTAGCACTCACGTCAGTAGCCATGAAGTGCTTTGAAAAGCTGGTCATGGCTCACATCAACACCATTATCCCAGAAACCCTAGACCCACTCCACTTTGCATACCGCCCCAACAGATCCACAGATTATGCAATCTCTATTGCACTCCACACTGCCCTTTCCCACCTGGACAAAAGGAACACCTACGTGAGAATGCTATTCATTGACTACAGCTCAGCATTCAACACCATAGTGCCCTCAAAGCTCATCACTAAGCTAAGGACCTTGGGACTAAACACCTCCCTCTGCAACTGGATGCTGGACTTCCTGTTCACCCATGACTGCATGGCCAAGCACGACTCCAACACCATCATTAAGTTTGCCGACGACACAACAGTGGTAGGCCTGATTACCGACAACGATGGTGTCCACATCATCAACAAAACTAACATGGTCCAAGCACACCAAGACAGTCGTGAAGAGGGCACTACAAAGCCTATTCCCCCTCAAGAGACTGAAAGGATTTGGCATGGGTCCTCAGATCCTCAAAACGTTATACAGCTGCACCATCGAGAGCATCCTGACTGGTTGCATCACCGCCTGGTATGGCAACTACTCGGCCTCCGACAGCAAGGCTCCAGTTTAAACTAGCTAGCCAGCTAACTAGCTACTTGCTGTTAGCCACAGTTAGCGGTATTTCACCCAGAACATTGGATTTTTCTGCCGGAATAATTTAATCACTGGACATAAATCACCGGATCGCAACTAGCTAGCCGCAACCGAATGGATGTTGCTGTTTGGCTAATCACCACTGCCCCCGAAGCAAGCACCAGTTAGCCTAGAGCCAGGCCCATATCCCGGCTATCTACCTCTCGGTCTACCGGACGGGAGTAGCCAGCTAACTAGCTACTTGCTATTAGCTACCGTTAGCGGTATTACACCATTGTCCGTGGCCTGCACCACCTACCAGCCAGCTCTAGTCTGGACTATTATTCGGCCAGTCTGCACTGTCTGCACAGCGCGTTATCGACACAGAACATATCAGTTTTTCTGCCGGAATCACTGAATCACTGGACCTTTAACTCCGGATTCATCGCTACCAGCTAGCTGCAACAAAATGGACGTTGTGGTTTGGCTAATCATCCTGAGTTAGGCCCATCTCCCGGCTATCTACCTCTCTGTCAACCGGACGGGACCACCTAGTGTTGACACGGAGCCCCGCCGATCCTACACGACTGGTCTGCCGACGAAATCGTCTGATGTGGTTACAACAGGCTTCCCGTTACGACGTCGACCACGAAGATTCCATCTGCTAGCCCCAGCCCGCTAGCACACGCTAGCCGTGGCCTCTTGCTCGCTAGTGCTTTAGCAGCCCCCGAACTACCTCCGAACTATCCTATTGCTGTTCACCTGACCTTATGATAACTCAGCTATACAGCTGATGCCTGCTGGACGGTTCCTTTATACGGTACCGCATCCTGTTTATGTTTAGCCTCAGCTCAAACTGTGTCGTCATTACCAGCTGTTGTCTTAGCTCTCTCAAATTACACCTGTGATTGCTTTATGCCTCTCTCCCATGTCAATATGGTTTGCTTATTGCTGTTTCGGTTATTTCTAATTGTACTATTTCACTGTAGATCCCCCAGCCCAGCTAAACCTGCCTTAGATAGCTCCTTTGTCCCACCCCCCATACACGCGGAGACCGACTCAATCGGTGCCTCCAGTGATGCTATCTCTTTCATTGTTACCCAACGCTTAGGTTTACCTCCACTTTACTCATATCCTTCCATATCCTTGTCTGTACATAATGCCCTGAATCTTTTCTACAACGCCCGGAAATCTGCCCCCTTTATTCTATGTACCCAACGCACTAGAAGAGCAGTTCTTAAAGCCTTTAGCCGTATCCTTATTCTAGTCCTCCTCTGTTCCTCTGGTGATGTAGAGGCTAACCCAGGCCCTGTAGCCCCCAGTATCACTCCTACTCCCCAGGAGCTATCATTTGTTGACTTCTGTAACCGTAAAAACCTTGGTTTCTTGCATGTTAATATCAGAAGTCTCCTTCCTAAGTTTGAGTTATTCACTGCGTTAGCACACTCCGCCATCCCTGATGTTCTAGCAGTGTCTGAATCCTGGCTTAGGAAGGCCACCAAAAATTCTGAAATGTCCATCCCCAACTATAATATTTTCCGTCTAGATAGAACTGCTAAAGGGGGTGGAGTTGCAATCTACTGTAGAGATAGCCTGCAGAGCTCTATCATACTATCCAGGTCTGTGCCCAAACAGTTTGAGCTTCTACTTCTAAAAATCCACCTTTCCAGAAATAAGTCTCTCACTGTTGCCGCTTGCTACAGACCCCCCTCAGCCCTCAGCTGTGCCCTGGACACCATATGTGAATTGATTGCCCCCCATTTTCCTCAGAGTTCGTACTGCTTGGTGACCTAAATTGGGATATGCTTAACACCCCGGCCATCCTACAATCCAAACTAGATGCCCTCAATCTCACACAAATTATCAACGAACCTACCAGGTACAACCCTAAATCCGTAACCATGGGTACCCTCATAGATATCATCCTGACTAACTTACCCTCTAAATAAACCTCTGCTGTCTTCAACCAGGATCTCAGCGATCACTGCCTTATTGCCTGCGTCCGTAACGGGTCCGCGGTCAAACGACCACCCCTCATCACTGTCAAACGCTCCCTAAAACACTTTAGCAAGCAGGCCTTCCTAATTGACCTGGCCCAGGTATCCTGGATGGATATAGATCTCATTCCGTCAGTAGAGGATGCCTGGTTGTTCTTTAAAAGTAATTTCCTCTCAATCTTAAATAAACATGCCCCATTCAAAAAATACAGAACTAAAAACAGATATAGCCCCTGGTTCTCCTCAGACTTGACTGCCCTTGACCAGCACAAAAACATCCTGTGGCGTACTGCATTAGCATCAAATAGCCCCCGCGATATGCAACTTTTCAGGGAAGATAGGAACCAATATACACAAGCAGTCAGGAAAGCAAAGGCTAACTTTTTCAAACAGAAATTTGCGTCCTGTAGCACTAACTCCAAAAAGTTTTGGGACACTGTAAAGTCCATGGAGAATAAGAGCACTTCCTCCCAGCTGCCCACTGCACTGAGGCTAGGAAACACTATCACCACCGATAAATCTACAATAATCGAGGATTTCAACAAGCATTTTGCTACGGCTGGCCATGCTTTCCACCTGGCTACCACTACCCCGGCCACCAACTCTGCACCCTCCGCTGCAACTTGCCCATGCCCCCCCCCCGCTTCTCCTTCACACAAATTCAGACAGCTGATGTTTTGAAAGCGCAACAAAATCTGGACCCCTACAAATCAGCTGGGCTAGACAATCTGGACCCTTTCTTTCTAAAACTAGCCGCCGAAATTGTCGCAACCCCTATTACTAGCCTGTTCAACCTCTCTTTCTGTCTGAGATCCTCAGAGATTGGAAAGCTGCCGCGGTCATCCCCCTCTTCAAAGGGGGTGACACTCTAGATCCAAACTGTTACAGACCCATATCCATCCTGCCCTGCCTTTCGAAAGTATTTGAAAGCCAAGTTAAACAGATCACCGACCATTTCGAATCCCACCGTACCTTCTCCGCTATGCAATCCGGTTTCCGAGCTGGTCATGGGTGCACTTCAGCCACGCTCAAGGTCCTAAACGATATTATAACCGCGATCGATAATAGACAGTACTGTGCAGCCGTCTTCATCGACCTGGCCAAGGCTTTTGACTCTGTCAACCACGGCATTCTTATTGGCAGACTAAATAGCCTTGGTTTCTCAAATGACTGGCTCGCCTGGTTCACCAACTACTTCTCAGATAGAGTTCAATGTGTCAAATCGGAGGGCCTGTTGTCTGGACCTCTGGCAGTCTCTTTGGGGGTACCACAGGGTTCAATTATTGGGCTGACTCTTTTCTCTGTGTATATCAATGATGTCGCTCTTGTTGCTGGTGATTCTCAGATCCACCTCTATGCAGACGACACCATTTTGTATACATCTGGCCCTTCATTGGACACTGTGTTAACAAACCTCCAAACGAGCTTCAATGCCATACAACACTCCTTCCGTAGCCTCCAACTGCTCTTAAACACTAGTAAAACTAAATGCATGCTCTTCAATCGAACGCTGCTGGCACCCGCCCACCCGACTAGAATCACTACTCTCGACGGGTCTGACCTAGAGTATGTGGACAACTACAAATACCTAGGTGTCTGGTTAGACTGTAAACTCTCCTTCCAGACTCATATTAAGCATCTCCAATCCAAAGCTAAATCTAGAATTGGCTTCCTATTTCGCAACAAAGCCTCCTTCACTCATGCTGCCAAACATGCCCTCGTAAAACTGACTATCCTACCGATCCTTGACTTCGGCGATGTCATTTACAAAATAGCCTCCAACAATCTACTCAGCAAATTAGATGTAGTCTATCACAGTGCCATCCGTTTTGTCTCCAAAGCCCCATACACTACCCACCACTGTGACCTGTACGCTCTTGTTGGCTGGTCCTCACTACATGTTCGTCGTCAAACCCACTGGCTCCAGGCCATCTATAAATCACTGCTAGGCA